AATTTGCATGCTCGCGTGATAGCGCCTGTTTAAGCAAAATGTCGACTCCATTTATATACCTACATGCGCAGTGTTATACAGGAATTACATTGAAAAGTTGCTATTTGACTATGAATTATTAAAATATTATATCAAAAAGCTAGTACGAGTAACTTAAGTTATATTGTCTTTCTTACTTCGAACGAATAAATAAATAAATAACATTAAAATAATGTTCTAAATCTGTTTTCATTTTTATCTTAAAGCTAAAAAAATATTGATAGGACATGTCAAAACTCGATTATATCAGTGTTTCTTCCAATTTAATACCTTCAAGATTGTTTCGTGTTCCCTCAGATCTAAGATTTAGCATTAGCCGAAGCTCATTTTCTCTATCTGTAAATAAAATACAACTCGTGCAATTACGGAAGTAGATATTAATATATTCAATAATAATAAATGTATGTGTGTTCTATAGTTTTTAGGAATTAAATAGGAGAAAATCTTTTTTTTTTTACTTTTCATACCAACCATTTTTCCAGATAAATTCTACGGCCAACACCGGCTTGTTTTGTTCACAATTATAAGCGTGAAATAAGAATCCCTCAAGAAAGCCCAACGCGGCAAAAATTGAAAATGTTGCAGGCTCGGTTTGATTGAGCCTGTTCATGGACGGTACTGTCAAGTGCAAACTACCGTCCACGCCCCCTAGCACCGGCTTAAGCAGAATTCAACACAAGCCCACTTAGAAATACAAGTATGCAAACTGTCTAATATCTACATTTATAAATGTAATTTTCATAAATATCATTTCATTATTCTTTTACAAGCATTAATGTATAAAAAAAATCTTCTTTTCCTATTAGTGTTGCTTTTTCTGTAGAATTAAGATTCTTCTTAAAGAAATGTTTCGCGTATTATCTCTACTATATAAACTATTCATAGTGTTAAGAAAAATCCTCAAACATTTCTATTCTGAAATATGTGTAATTTAAACATAATTTCAAATTCTTATTCTCTTTTTTATATATTTATACATATGTTTTAAAACCACATGCAACTTATGCATCACGCAACTTTAATTTATTTCTCAAATCCAATCAAGCTATTATAAAAAGAACATATATTCGTAAAAGTAAAAAGGAGAAAAAGATAATTATTTTACTTGAATTTTTAACTACACTGTTACACGTGTGTCGATAGCACATTGTTTTAAATTCAAACCATGGTCTAAGAACCTTGTAGGATTTTAAGCATCAAATTTTGCTATTTGTAAACCACAAGACAATTTCGTAAAAGACAAACCTTTTATCTGTTGCTCAATCAGTTGAAGTTTCAATTCATGCTGAAGACAGAAACATTGTGCAATACTAATTTTATTAAAACCATACGCATATCCTGTATAAACATGACTAAACAAACTTTAATTTTAATTTTATTTATTTTGCTGATATTCATTACTCATCCATAATTTATTAAGACCTAAGATAGAACTAACATAATAGAAAAGCACGGATATCTTCTTAATTGTATGATTATTTATGACAGATGTCAAAAAATTCTATGATCACAAAGTAAATAAACGTAATATAACAAAAAAAAAACATCATTTTCAAAATGTAGTCCTTTTCACTTTTCATGAATGAATTGTCAGTCTCAATTTTTTCTCTTCGCATTTTTATAAACATTCAAGTTTTAAATTATATAGTTACATGAAAGTAGAGAATGATCAGTTAGATATTTATCTGTCCAGTGGTCAGCAAGTTGACTGAACTAAATCAATCACAGGCCATAGACGATAATTATGTAAATAATTTCTCATTTAATATAAAGAGCCATTACATACTGGCCAAAAATGACCACTACAATACGATTGAAGACTCAATAAACAAATCACACGAAAACGCTATGATGATGGAAGTGCAGTAAAATTGCACGTTTTCGTGTTAAAATTATTTCACCCGAGAAAAAGTTTGAAAGAATCTCAATTCAAAAACGAAATCACTCAAATGAAGATAAATTTGTCATAACGTTATCAATTCATTTAAACAAAATTAAACAAATCTGTAAAACCAAGTGGCAGTTGTACATGTTTTACTTTTGTATAGTTATCGTGTATTCCCCTCCAACCCCCCCCCCCCTTCCCACTAAAGACCGTTTTATTGTCTCTTTGTTTGATATATAGTGCACAATGACTGCCTTAAAAAGAGTAACGATATAAACAGTGTCAATGTAGGAATTTCTTTCCTTCCTACCTAAATCGGGCAGTTATAGACATGATGACGCTGTGGCAGTTTTGACAAATAGACTAGCAATTTAGAATGGTAGTTTTTTTTCAAAGATCTTTTAAACTGTTATCCATTTAAAAAAGAAAATCATGATCTTTATATATCAACTGTAAAAGCGTGATATATCAAAACTCAAATGCATAAGTTATAAAATTTGCCTGTTGTTTTGCTGTTTGATATTTATCTTCTAGACTAGACATCCCATGCTCTCTCAGCTCTTTCACCTCATGTTCAAGGTTAATCTCGATTTGATTTCGCTGCACCTATTAAGCAATTTATGATAAGACTCCAGTCAATGATAAAAATCAGTGAAATTACAAATAAGTTTGAATAAAACTTAAATCATTTGCTCTGTATTTTTTTATATTTAGCCTTGCTGTTACTAGCTCGCGTTTACAAGACGATACAGGGTGATTCATTTACGTGTTAGAACAGATAAAGAGGTGGACTAAGTTGTTTTGTCATGATGGAACTGGAAATAATTTCCAAAAAATTACGTATCATATTTTTACGTCTGAACCAATAATGTTAGCGCTAACAATAAAAGTTTTCAAAATGACAAACGTACTAACGTTTTGCAGATTTTCAATAACCTGCAAAATAGCAAGCATTAAAGAATTTAAAAATTGCCAAAGTATATTGTGTAATATAAATTACTAAAAATATCAATATATTCCTAATTGATACATTTAGAAAGAAATACGATTAAGTACAAATTTTAATAATTTTTAAAGAACTTATTGAATACAATTATTTACTGATGTACAAGAACCGATAATGATGTATCCAAGGCAAATTGTGTCTTTATTAATGCTACATAACTACTCGTATAGAATAATTACCTTATCCAATAAAAGCAATGCCTTTTCAACGCCTGGCTCTTTTTTCAGAGGTGTATTGCCATTTTTGTCTTTGATTTCTAGTACTTCTTTAAACATTTTGATACATTTGTTTAGTTTACCGTCAGATAATTCATAATTTGGATTGTGGAGAATATCATTCCGCGCTTCCCGTGCCTATAAAAGTAATACTTCAGCATTTAAAGTCACTTCATAAATATTGTTTAAGGTTTTACCATCATAACGTATTATCTCCGCTTTGAAGAGTATTCAAATAGGCTAGAACTACAGTTAACTATATTGAAAATGAGGGCCGTGGGTTCAATCTCCAGAAGGGTCAACTATTTTTTTCTTCCTGTGTTTCTTTTAACACTTTTAATGTATCTCTTATGTCCCTTGTCCCTGTTTATTGGCTAAATTATGCCAAATCTAGTAATAAATATAGTACCTGATATTTTCAAAGTGTAATAAAATCAAAACTAGACGGTTAAAGTATTTAATTTTTTACAAGATCAACCAATATACTTTTTTTTGAATTTTGGGAAACTTCGAAAACAGGCACTCATTTTGGTAAATTTTAAGTGTTTTTTAAATTAGGCTCCCTAAGTAGGAAAATGGTCAGACATTTGGTAAAAATGGGTTGGGTAAGGTAACATTTTTATACAGATTTCATAAATTTTAAGTAGAAACCATATTTTTTCTTGTGTGGATTGTTAGCTGAATGGTACTATTTGTTTCTTACCAAAAATTAATGGGTAAACCTTTTTCAATAGGATGTTATTGCAGATATTTTAAAGATTTCTCATTTCTAAAAAAAGGCCCTCGTAACACCCTAGCTGGGTCTGGAAAAGTGGCCATAACTTGATTTCCGTACGTTAAACTTTGTTTAAATTTTGCATACAGGTGAACTTTAAAGGGACTCCACTGAGGTTTTTTGACCTGACGGGACTGGAAATATTTTTTTCAGATTATTACTCCATTTGATTTAGATCTATACCAATAACTTATGTGCAAAACTTCAGATCATTAGCTCGCTCCGTTTTTCCAGAATAATTAATATAATAGTGAAAATGACCCAAAATTGAAAAGCGTTTAAACGCTTTTCACTCAAATCGGACTTAAAATAGCACAGACATCCGATTTTTAATATGTTTGTTATATATTTCTTAATTATATCTTAATTATGTTTCTGTTTTAAGTGCTCATGTTTATCTACGTGAAAAATTAAGACTTTATGTTTTAGGCTTATAAACCTCAGTGGAGTTCCTTTAAGGTACATGTATACATCTGACCTATGATGTGAATTTTTTTAGTTCCTTATAGTGCCCATTGGGGTGGTACCTTATAGTTCCTTATAGTACCCATTAGTACCTAAATCACTTAACTTTGGTGTATTATAAAACTAATACGAAAATGATGTTTAAAACTTGAACAATAAAGATAAAATATGATATACATATGAGGTATGTTAAAAAAGTTTTTGGACTTTTGCTGTAATTTTCTATTTTGGTTTATAAAAAGATCTTGGTTGATATAAATCAAAAGGGTGTTTTTATTTCTAAAAGTGATGTTTACTTTTTTTATTTCTTTCACGAACAATGTGCATTTTAATTACCATGACAACGCATTATCGGCACACGCCGAATTGCTCATGCAACGTCATGTTAAATTGGACTGGACGTTAAATGTACAATGTTTAATTGACGAAACACACATCAAAATATGACAAACGTGTCTAATTTATATACCTGCGCAAATGCATCTCTTTTCCCATCGATGATAACTTTTCCTAGCATCATTTCTATAAACATGCTGTTTATACACAAACTAAGTAAACCTGAGCAGTCGACCTCTTTAGCTGATTGCTTGCCTTTGTAGCCAGGGGTGTTTATAAAGCATGTAGCAACAATCCACGGATCACTGCTCCATCTCTGAACATCTGTGTTCGTGAAAAGGGGAGTTCGAAAGCGATGATTACAAACTATTCGATCACACATTTTTCCACAAAATCCTCCGTTTGGACACATTTGTCTTGGCTTTTGTTTCTTTCTCAAATAACAAAAGCATTGCTGTTTATTTTGGCATGGACATTTGTCTGGTTTGTGTGGAAGAAGACTCTCATCTGTGCAAGTGTTACATATGTTTCCAAGTCTTTCTATAAGGTACTTGTGCTGTTTTTTAACAGCCTTGTCGGAAAAGTCCTCTAAACCCCTTTTCAAGTATTTTAACGCTAGAGCTCCTCTCACCCAATTTCTATACAATTCTTGTGCCATTTGTTTCCTGTGTAAAATATCTAATTCCCCTGAAAATAGAGAAAACAATGTTCATAAACCTTTGTTGATATCTGATAATTAAATATAAATATAATTGCTTGTTTGTTTTCTATTAATTAGTTTGAAACAAACAAAATAATCTGAATAGAGATAAATATAGCTGCGTACTTCATATTGTTAATGACAAATGACGAAATGAAAACAAACTTTTGCTTTAATTTTCACAAAATTAGTGTTATTTACGAATATATTGACCTTGAACTATAACAGTTGTTTTAGATGATACTTTTCCAAAGTCAACTGTATATTCACCCTCGTCGTGTAATGTTATATTCGTCAGCATCAGTTTGTGCTTAGTTCCTCTCGCTATTATGTTGTATCTGGCTGATGATTGTAGTAGTTTCCCGTTATGTCGCCAAACAGGTTTACATGTTATCAAGTTCGTCTTACACTCTATATCTATGTTTTTATTTTCAGTGACTTTAATTTTGACAGGCAAATCAACGACCAGACTTAATTCTTCATCTGTTACAATAGGATGAGATAATCGTATTTATAGAAGTTATGCTAAATATGTTATCGCTATAATCATTTGATCATAAATCTTATATCGCACGTTATAATAAATCACATAATTTATTGGAATTGACAAAGAATTCATTAAAATAATTTATTGTTAAAGGCAAAGGTTTCCTCTTCAGCGGTCAAACTCAAAGGAACCCTACTAAATCATATCATAAAAAATATTGGCTCGCATGACCGTTTTCTTGAATGCACAAATATTAACAGTTCCTAGTCCCTGTAATCAAAGACAAATTAATTATTTTGACATTTTGTTTTCTCTTTTTTGTGTTCGCCATTATGATTATCCTTGTACAGGTTTATTCTACATATCTACAAATGATACTTGTTTACTGACAATCAAACTAAGGTTCTGCAGTTCTATTGTAAATTTATTAGTGTCTTCAAAATGATTCAATGAAGATTACACTCTGAAAGATAAAAAACAACATCAATGAAAATGCCTAAAATTTATCCAAGGCTGGTTCTACTAGAGTCATATTTTAACTTGCCCTTAAGATACACAGCAGGTGTCATCAAAGGTACAGATCATGATTTTTTTCAGTTTGTCCCTTGCAGAATAAAAATTTAGAATATCAATTCAAGCGTACTCGCTTAATTTGATTTTCGATCCTGGATTATCTCAAATATTATATTGCTACAGCCAAAATATTTTTGTATATTTGCAAATATTGCATAAAGTGATGTATTTGGATACATTCATATGGATACAATTAAATACAAACTGTAATATAAATACTTAACATTTGACTGGATCATTTGATCTTTCTCTTCGCCAGTAATGTCATTCTCTGTTACGACATCTATTTCCATTGCAATTTTTAGATGAATGTTGATATCATTTGTCCTTGTTAATTTGCCTATTTGTGGTTTGCTTAATTTCATTGATTTAAATTCAAATGAAAACAGCATACGTTTACAATTAAAACTAGCTTTGTTGTCTATAAACTTTGACAACTCGCGTAATCGATCGAGCAATAAATATTGTTTCTCCTTGTAGGTCTTGTATGTTAGAGAGGCACATTCAACGTAATTTTCAATATCTTTTCTCTGATCATATATACATTGAATGGCTTTTACTTCTGGTACCGTTAGATCTGATTTAAACAACGCTAATGTTACAGCACATAATTGAAGAGTGTCCCACGTATTAATGTCGTCAATGACTTCACCTTTTTTAAATAATTGAAGATACTCTGTTTCGTACTGGGTCTTAAATGTATGTCTATTTTCATTTAACACAAATCTAATATCTTTTCCACATTTTTTCTGTTCTCTTTTTATAATGGCCTTCAATGCTATTGGTGATACTTGTCCCAAAAACAACATATGACGGAGGTAGTGTTCATACCCACTTGTCACATCACAGCTCTTCTGTAACAATAATAAGAATAGTTTTAGATGTTTCCTTTCCCATGATTGAATTTCAAAATTCGGTTTGATATTTCCTTTGGTACAACTTCACTTTATGACTTAAAAGTGTCAATACATTGCGTTATGAAATTTTACACACAGCAAAACAAGCATATCAATAGGATATCGATAACAATAAACAATTATTTTATTACATGTATATATCATGCGTAATCTAGGAAGGAATGTGGAAAGATATGATAAATCTTACCAGTGGTTCCATCTCAATTGTTTAAATTTCCATTTGTCTTAGCAGAGGAATATGTAATGGTCACATATAGAGCTAGAAACAGTCAAAAATATAAAAAAACATTAAATATATATAGTACTCCAGATTTGTTTACATTTAATGCAGAAATACTACACAACAGAACAAATCTTGATCACACCTAACTTTGATCGGAAATGACGTCGTTCCTGGTATAAATAACGTTATACTTTGATATGTAGCAAATTGCAAATTGCAAGCTATATAATAAAAGAGAAAGTGATTCCAGCACTTTTCATGTTGACGTTTGACAAACTTGAACGCTAAAGCCAGTGATATGGAAGAGATAGGTCGTCGCTTTAGTTCCAATTGACGCAAGTCATTTTTTATTTGTGAAAAATGTCGAGTTCGGTATAATTTTTTTCCAGCTCGACGAGCTCTACAAGATGATACTACTTGTGACATTGTAGAACGCCAACTCATGCATTTTATGTTGGTTACTAAATGACGTATGTTGGTTCTGTGACAATTTATTATGTTCAAAACTGACGCATCTCTTATGCCAATCAAACACGCTCAATACGGTATGTCTTGAAGCGCGGCCATTGTAATGAAAGCTGTGTTGAAATCTTTTGGACTTTTTCGATAAGATTTCATTTATCCTGATATGTTTTTGTTAATCTAAATATATTTTATAGAAACATAACCAGAGTATCTGTTCATTGTGCTCCAAAAGCAACTGTTCAGTAATTGACAGAATTGGAATTAGTGTACCAAGGAACTGAAATACTTTCGGATTTTCAAGGTTTCGGATAAAATGTAAGTAAGCATTGGAATCCGTTTGTCACATGTTTTATTACTGATATTTTGTAATTTATTTATAAATGTTATTATTTAATATGATATGAAAGATCTGTTGGTATTACAGACTGCAATCAACATAAAAAATTTAGAAAAAAGAGTTTGATTAATCGTCTGTTCGCAAGTGATTATTTATAGTACAATACAACTCATATCCTGTTAACTAGTATCAGCAAAACTGTCAATTAAAATATTGTTCTCAGACGATATAACAACACTGTGTCCAGATATCGGAAGATTTTACAGCCATCACACTTGCACCTATAAGACCTCTGTTGTGATGGTAAATAAATACTTTATTATTATAAACAGTGATAAACATATATCATAAGAAAAACACACTTCATCTTCTAATGCATTTTTTCCATTATATTCACTTATTCAGATTCACCGAAAACCAAGCTGACAAGAATTCGATGGTGATTGATTGATCTACCTAATTGACTCTTAGTACAAATCATTTGAACATACAGGAACTTCTTAAAACTGTGACTGTAATACATACAAGATTCAATGAAATTGTGAAGAAAACTTCGTGTCTGTGAAAGCATTTTTCATTTTGCCATCCACTCGAAGTGACACTAATTTCAGAAACACTTTGGATCATTCCTATGCCTTTCTCGAGTTCTTCATTCCAGGCGGTACAAAGCATTTGGGGTCTTCAGAAATCGAGTTTGAGCTAGTTACCAAATTATCCAATGCTAAAATCTGTATAGGCTCGATTTAACAAGATGCATATTTTCAACACTGTGTTTCCTGCCAATGCTTTGCAACTTGAAAATACTTAATGTTTCGGAATGTACAAATTTCATTAACGAGGATTTCGAAATTACTTCACAGTTAGCAAATTTAGATCACTTATATGTATCATTTACAAACATAAGGCCTGATGCTATAGCAATTTAGAACAATGTGTAAGAATTTTAAAACCTGATTTGCCGATTTTGCATATTTGCATTAAAGTGTTGAAAGTCATTAAAATGAAATATGGCTCAAAGAATTTGTGTCAAGACATTATGAATCGTTATTTGTTAAGAATTTGAAATGAATAAATTTAGTGTCACCCAAGTACTAAACATGCTAGAGGGAAGTGATTGAGATAATGAAATACTTGAAGACTCTGAAGATAACTTAAAACCTTTTAAAAGTATTCCATTACAAACAAATACTACTGATCGTGATGAATCAGCTAATAATTTATCCGTATGTCTATGTTCTTTCGTGACATTCATGAAACAACAAGTAAAACTAGAACTGTGTCCAAAGGACACGGATGCCCCAACTGACAAAATATATATGGTATATAGTGAAAGAATCAACAAGGGCCATAATTCTGTTAAATTTGGTCGCAGCTAAAATTCCTTCCTTTACTGCCATCTACACATTAAGGTTGTTCATCCCAGGAAGTTTAAGCAAAATCTGCCATCCGGTTTAAGAGGAGTTGCGTTCACAAAATTTGTACATAGTATATAGTGAAAAAATCAACAAAGGGCCATAATTCTGTTAAACTTGGTCGCAGAGAAAATTCCTTCCTTTACTACCATCTAATCATTAAGGTTGTTCATAGCTGGAAGTTAAGGCAAAATCTGCCATCCGGTTAAAGAGGAGTTGCGTTCACAAGATTTCGGGACGTACGGACGGACAGACGTACGGACGGACGGAAAAGTGCAACGCTATATGCTCCCCACTTTGTGGTGGCATAAAAAAAACCCTTAAAAGTGACTCAAAATCAAGATGTTATGCCTTGTACATTTAATTACAATAGCTATACAACCGTGAATAGAATAAGTAATCATTATCAAGTTCAATACACGGGATATTTGCATACTAGTGGTAATAATGAAACAGCTATTAATAGAATAACGGACATGACTAATATTCAATGCCCTAAACTGATGAATGTAACTACAGATGAGTTTCAAGTAAACTGTGAAGGGCCTTTGTCATTTAATTGCAATAATGAAACAACATCGAACACATCAACAGACATGAATCAAGTTCAATATCCTATGACAATTAATTATGAATTTGAGATGAAAAGAGCAACTTATATCAATCAACAAGAATTGTTTGTGTCTCTGAATGTATATGGCATGAACAGTTTGTCTGGGTCATTTTTATACGAACTGAACAATGACAATTTATGTATGGAATCTGAATATACAAAGTTAACGTAGTATCGATGTCTTTTTTAATTTTAATCAAACAAGCTGTCAAGAAGTTGATACATTCCAATACACAAGGAACACAAACGAAGAATATGACATCTTTGAACTAGACAATAATAACACTATGTTATTACCAAGCAGATAAAAAGCCGCTAAGGAAAAATGAATCTTTGATGAGACGAATTCAAATTTGTCAAATGAGATAGAAAATGAAAAAGAGAACACTCAGACAAGTGATCAAAGTCAGGTTTTTGATGGACCTATCACTAAAAATATCAACAATCAGTCTTGTCAGAATAGTGCTGTTACACATGGACGGAAACGAGTGAGACATAAGGAAATGTGGTCAAAACAATTTATAAAAGTTGGAGACAAGCAGGTAAAGAATATATAAACCGGCAAGGAGTAAAGGTTCCACAGAAAAACAAATTGTAAAGGAAGTAGCAACTGTCGAAGAAAGTGTACTCAGCAGTTTAGTTATGAACAAATTCAAACTATTCATGACAGATATTGGTCATTAGACGATAATGGGGGTTAGAATTGTTTCATTGCCCATACAATAACTAAACGCACTAATGAAAACAAGAAAAAGGATAGTTATCGTAGATATACTAAGGAGTTCTTTTTCTTCCGAAATGATGATAAGATACAGGTGTGTAAAGACTTTTATCTAGGTGTCCTTCATATATCAGATATTCGTTACAGACACTACTTCAAAAAAGTTGATACAAAAGAAGGAAACGAGTTTAGGGATATGCGTGGAAAACCAACAAAGAGACGAACAAGTGACTATGAAATCAACGTCATTCGGAGACATATTAAATCCTTTCAGTGAATACCGTCTCATTACTGCCGTTCAAACTTTTTCACAGAATATGAAGAACCAGATTTAAATGTAAACATAATATCGAAAAGGAATTTCAAGAAAAATATAACAAACACATTTGTGATAGAAAAAAGCAACAAAAATGGAAAGAGACAAATATAGAATGAAGAAAACAGACATGACTGTTTCTTTTGATTTAGAAAATGTAATACTCTTGCCAAAAGCGAATGTAAACAATTTCTTTTATAAAAGAAAATTAGACATGTATAATCTCACCGCACACGTATTAAAGGATGGAACAGCATATAACTGTATCTGGAATAAAATAATCAGAGCAAGAGGAGCCAATTGGATTGCTAGTGCGATTGTAACTATTCTGAAATACATAAAAAGAGTCAATCTAACAATAAAGTATTTTACATTATGGTCTGACAACTGAATTCCACAAAATGAAAAGGTAAGCAAATTGTCTTTACTTTAATTCCATTCAAAATTGACACAAACTATTATTTTGAGCCAAACTGACAATGCGTCACTTTACAAAATATTAAAAACAGCTACAACGTATTTTTTAATGACATTAATATATTTTGTTTACTAAATGTATAAAAACAATTAAAGGCATGACACTTAAATTGTGCTAATATATCTGCACATATTTTGTTTATGTCTTAATTCTCATATGAATTTGTCAAATAGTTAAAAAAGATACAAGACTTTTAAACTTTAAACCTCATTTTTTTGAAATGAAAGAAATACGACATACATCACTCTTGAACTAAAGCGACGAAGTGTTGCAAATCTACTTTATCTTATGAGCATACTTATTCAAGCTGAGTCTGCAATTTTTAAGTACTTGTTTCTATTGCTACTGAAGGATCTCATTTCCAAAAGCAGGCGTCAGGTGATGTTTATTTATCAGACCATTGTAATACAACTTTGCCTTATTGACACCTTTTTTAATCAATTAATAAAACTATGATGAATGAACCAATATACTGGTATATTAGGGTATCAAAGCTTTTAATGATATAATATGATTAAAATATATGTTACAACTTTTTTACCAATCTGAATAAAATTGACAATAATAATTGTTTTGATGTCTATTTATGCACATTTAATGAATTCGACCTTGGCAAAAAAATAACATTGACCTTAAAAGATTTTAATAACATTGTGCTTTAATTGATTATAATAAACTATAAATTTGTTATAAAAGGATATATTGTATTCATACTTTGACATAATAACCCTTTAAACAATCCATTCGAGTAAGTCAAGTGAACTGGACTTTGACTTAAAAGGACCTTGTCTTTTAAGATTAAATAAAAAGTACAATATTGCCAAGTTTATAGATTGGTTTGTTTCACCCTTAAACAAATAAACACTATACATAAAATGAACATATTGCGCTACTATAGTTTTATAGTTTTACCTTTACCTTTAAATGACCTTACACTTTGAAGACGAATAGTTGATTTTTTTTTCTAAAATTGGCCATACTTTGTAAATCAATCGATGTATAAGATTGATACGTAAATTATCATCACTTAGTATATGACCGCCGTGCAACTCAACTTTAATCATGACCTATAAATTATCATGTCCAGTAACGTCAATTTATTAACTACTTCTAGAGTTATCCACATGTTTGTAATTACTAGATGATCTGCATACGTTTGAGGGCATAAATTTATTTTGAAGAGTTCCTTTTCAAACTCATCTTGACATTGACTTGACATTGACCTCGTGATGTTGACTTCTGCGGTTATCTTTCGATATTTACATATATATATTTATATATTCATAAATTGGCCATTACATTTTTTAACCTACAGAAGGATTTGAGTGATGCTTGGAAAAATAAATCACACAGAATTATCATGGTGAGGAATTCAGTTATTACATTGAATTTCAATAACCGGTCGAAACCTTAAATTTTAAACATTTTTTTTCTATTGTATTCAATAATGGATGGTCATCAAACATTGTCTCTATCATTCTATCGTAGCTTTTTTCAAATTTGCTCATATCAATTTGATTGGCCTCTTTTAGAGGCTGATAAAGTAAAAAAAAAAAAAAAAAAAAAAAAAAAAAAAAAAAACAACAACATAAAACATCTTTTCCTACTAACCAATCAATGGATCATCACCTGGCCCCGTGTTCACAAAGATTTACGGGTCGGGATCACGATCAGGATCAAATTTAAAAAGTCAAATATTCTCCATTATTTATCCTCATAGTTTATATTTTCAGTGTTAACTTGCTAAAACTGGACTTGAAAAAAACATGTTTTTGAAATTTTAGAATAAATTTATTGTCATTTTTACAAGATATGAGCATTTTACAGTTGATCCAAATTATGATCTTGATCCTAAAATTGATCATCATTTTGATCCAATTATTTTTGTATTTGTTTTTGTTTTTTGTTGATTTTATCCCAAATTAAGTTGGTTTCTTTGCAAATTAACAGTTATTTGTATTTCGAATATGTACCATTTATTTCTAGCATAATACGATCAGTTTTAGTTTCATAAAACAATGAAAAAATCAGGATCATCTGATCCTGATCCTAATTTTTTCTTTGTTCGGAACACGGGGCCAGGCTTTGTCTGTAGCATTCTTCGATTCTTAGTTTGTTCAAATTAATTTGATTCGCCCCAGTTAGGGGCCCCTCGAGCTAAATTTTAAACGTCTTCTACTAGTAAATTTATTTATTGCTATATTAATCTGATTTATTAGTTGCTTGAGCTAAAAATTGAAAATCAAACTTAACAACATCTTATTCTTATGAATTTGTGGATGGATGATCACCAAACTTTGTCTGTAGCATTAATACTCTTGGAAAGGCTGTTATCAAAACTGTTAAAATTAATTTGATTAGCCCCCTTTAGGGGCCTCTAGAGATAAAAATAGAAAAAAACTTAAACATCCTCTTCTACTTGACTAATTGATAGATGATCACCGTACTTTTATGTAGCCTTCTTATGTAGTGTTATCAAATTAGTTCAAATCAACTTGAATTAATATATTTAACCTTGAATTTCAACATCTTCAACTGAATTTATTGAAGAATAGATAGCTATAACATTCTTAGAGGGGTTTCTATCAAGTTTGCTTAAATTAATGTTAATTGGTCCTTTTAGTAGGGGCCGCTGGGACTGACATAAAAATCTGTAAAATCATTTTGGTCCCTTCCAGGAACTAAAAAAAACAAAAAGTTTCTACTTAATTATTTGATGGATGTCCAGCAAAGCTTTGTCTATAGCATTTTTAAAAGAGACAATCAGTGTTGGGAAACTATATAACTAGAGGGGCAAGTTGACGTTAAGCTGGATTTTCCTTTCGGCAAGTAAATGTTTATTTAAAAAATGATTTCTAACACTGAGAAACAGTTGTTTTTGGTGAGCAATTTTGGACCATCATGACCCTCTTTTTTACTGTGTATTTCTTAAAATCTATCACATATTTCCACTTTAAAGCGGTCTTCAACTTTTATTTCTTTTGGAAAGAACAATTTGTGCTGTGTTTAACAGAAAATCCTTAAGGTTTTTATTTGCTTAATCCTTTTTATTTTTGACCATTAATTCAGACACTCACCACACAAATTTTGCAAAGAATATTAGGGGACCTTTCATGCACACATAACCTCCCTTAGATACATACTACAATACTCTAAGAATTGACATGAACTCAATGTTAGACATTGTAATTTTTAGTTGTATTATTATGTTCTAACATATTCAATACATCTTGTATAAGAGCATATTGAAGAAAAAATATCTTGTTTCCAAATAAAATTGCCAAACAATTAACTAAATGAATAAATGACATCATTTCAAGTCGTTTTTCCATTGCATTCTTTTATACTATGCCTACACAACAACAAAGTCATTAACAAATTAATATTACAACTGTCAGTTATTGTATGTTATGTTTAAAAGATAAATAGCCAAGCTTATAGATACGTTGGCAAACATTGCATTATATTAGCCAGGTTCATAGACTTCTGGCTCCGGTAAAAATCGTGTTAGCTAGGTCCATACATTTTGATTTCCAGCGTATAGTTATACACTATTTTATTATTAATGCTCAAAATAAAAATGTTCCTTGTGATGTCTGACTTCCTTTTTCATGTAAACAATGTTATTAACTTGCAATCAAGGTGTTCTTCAATGTCAAATAAAACATATCAATTAAGTTTCTATCATAAATTATAGTCTTGATATTGTAAGTGATAAACTATACACTTATAATGGGGCGCAACTCATTCAGTATTTCATTTCTTAGACTCATTTGTTTTTGGATATCATAATTTACTGCCGCACTTAGAAACGAAACGAAAATTCATGTAGTGTATTCTAAGGAAAGTTATAGTTTGAACTTGAATAGTCTGGGGCTGATGGTAAACGAAATACCATAATTATGACGCTTCAGGGACATAGAAAATGTGAGCTTTGATAAATATGTTTCAAGTACAATCCAAAAGTTGAGTTTTAATATATAGTTTGATAAAATATATAAGGTACTGTAATAGATGAAGTAATACAAGAAGCGCCGCAATGCGACGAAAACCAGGTTTTCAACAACCAAGTTTTGATGTGACAGCAATCAATAGGCCAAAAAGCACTGAAGTTATTGAGTAGAAGCTGAAAATTCTATTGTAAGCAAATGACCCTGAACTTGCTCCCAGATATCTTAGTGGCAATCCAAAGCTGCCACTCGGCAAGTTTGGTGTCAAAAGGTCAAAGCAAACTCAAGTTTTAACATGAAAACTAAATATATGTACATTAACCTTGATCACAGACACCCGGGTAGCAATCCAAAGCTGCCTCTTGATATAAGCTACCCATTCATCAAGTTTGGTGTCATTAGGCCAAAGCAAACTCAAGTCATTGAGCAGAAACTGAATTTCTATTTTTAGTAACAGTGACCTTGACCACAGACATCTGGATAGCAATCCCAAGCTGCCTCTTGATATAACCTATCCATTCACCAAGTTTGGTGTCAATAGGCCAAAGCAAACTCAAGTTATTGAGCAGAAACAGTGACCTTGACCTTGATAACAGACACCTGGGTAGCAATCCCAAGCTGCCTCTTGATAAAAGATATCCATACACCAAGTTAGGTGTCAATAGGCCAAAGCAAACTCAAGTTATTGAGCGGAAACTGAATTTATATTTTTAGTAACAGTGACCTTGACCTTGATCACAGACACCTGGATAGCAATCCCAAGCTGCCTATTGATATAAGCTATTCATACACCAAGTTTGGTGTCAAAAAGCCAAAGCAAACTTAAGTTATAGAGCAGCAACTGAATTTCTATTTTTAGTAACAGTGACCTTGACCTTGATCACAGACACCTTGGTAGCAATCCCAAGCTGCCTCTTGATATAAGCTATCCATAATCACCAAGTTTGGTGTCAATAGGCCAAAGCAAACTTTAAGTTATTGAGTAGCAAACTGAATTTCTATTTTTTAGGTAACAGTGACCTTGACCTTGATCACAGACACCTGGGTAGCAATCCCCAAGCTGCCTCTTGATATAAGTAAG